TTTTTTTTTCTTTTTTATATAGAACGCAATATCTCATTTTACAGTGTCTAATAATTAACACATAATGTTTTTTGCTCTCGGACGAATTAATAAAAAAAACCGCCTAGGTTATAGTCACAAAAAAGCAAATGCGATTAGCTGACTCAACTAAGGAAGCAAACAAATCTTGATGCAATATACTATAAGAAAACCTTGACTCTTTTGTGTTCGCTTTGACCTGATATTGGCCAGCTCGTTGTCTTTCGGGATAGATCAGCCAATGAACACTTTGGATTATCTCCGAATAGGACTCCTCAATAGAAGAATGAGTTATAGGCTTAATGAAATCTATGGTCAAGTGGCCTCGCTATTTGACACGCACGTTATCTACGGTATGTTTACGCGCAGCCAGTAATAGAAGGGGTTCAGATGATATTTAAGAGCTCGAATCTGGCGAAGTTCTAAGTCAGGCAGCCACCCGGCTTTCGATCTACTTGGTTCTCGCCCCTCCATTGCAGAAAGGTGAGCTCACCTCAAGAAACAGATTTGCACATGTTCATTCATCTGATTTAAGTCCTAAGCTAGGAGTATTTGTCCCCAATCCAGTTCCCCTCAGGATTCACATGGCACAATGGAGACCCGTGATTGCGTCGTTCTGCCTTGTCCTTCAGTTCCCAGGGTTTGGACGTATTCAGAAAAATATAGATGCTACTATAAGGAAAGGCATGCGCTTCCTGTCCCTTTTCGCCTCTCATTGTCTGGAGTCAACCACGCATTTGACATGAACACCTTTTTTTTATACCAACATTATCCCTACTATAAAGGTAAATCAAGCATATAAATTGCAATAACCCGGTAGCCATATACGCCACTGTGCAGCTGAGTATGTCCCTTCCTCAACGTGCGAGGTAATGTCAAAGTGAGCCAGCTGCATGTGTAGAAAGCAGACACAATGGCGTGATAAGCAACAGGTGACGCAAGCACATTTTCGTATGCATTGAGGTCTCGCCTTTCCATTTATATCGAAGACAAGTGACGTCAAAATGTTTCACATTTTAAAACACGCACCTTTGTATGTTTCCGACCGTTGTTGTACGTCAGTTCAACATTAACGTGTTGCCCAAAATATATCAAAAGCTATCAATGAAGCATACGGCCAAGATGTTTCCTCGTAAAGGCTGGTCAAGACATCTGCACCAAGTGCGGTGGCTACGACTGCGTGCCTTGCGACCAGATCAACTAGAACGACCGCTTTGTGCTGCGAGTACACACTCCTGCAACAAACGCTACGACACTGTGCCAAAATGGCACATCACTTTCCGCCGCACTAGCAGTTTTGATCCCAGTTTTTTTAATCTTGCCCCCCCCCCCCTTCCTATTAAAAAAGAAGACATGAATAAAACGGCGATTGCCTCTCCGCACTAACACCGTCGCGCTCTGTAGAACACAAACCGTTTTATAATTTTATGACGTCAGATTCAAACCTTATTTGTCAAACCCGAAGAGATTTAGTTCTATGAGTTCTGCTTCAAGACTTAGTTCCATGAGTGGTGCTTCAAGTCGTTTTGTATTCCGTCGTCCGATAAAAGCGTTTTTCTAGTCCTGCAGAAAAATGATGGCACTGAAAGTAGCAACGTCGCTGATAGTGGTCCTCCTGTCTGCTGTAATTTGCACGGGACATCCTGACGGAGCTGACGACCAGGCCTGCAAAGACCTGTATCCGTCCCACGGATACACTGCCAAGAGCGCTGCTGAGGGCCACGCCGAGGGCTACCGTCTCGTCCAAGACACAGAGGACTACAAGCCGGGTGACGTCATCACAGGTGAGAATTCTTATTTCTATTTCCTTGACGGACATAAAAAAAAAAAACTACACATTTTTCGAATACTTTGGCTGCCTCTAAAGACATCTTGACAGCGCGTGACTACTTCGTGGTCGAATTTCTACTGGGGGTGAGATGTAGCATCGTGAGATATAGCGTCGTACGCCTGTTCACCCAATTAAATTTGCTCATGGTCTCAAATGTTATTGTGCTGTTTAAATAGCTACATATTATATCCAGAAATTTTATTATTTTGAGATAAGAATGACGCTTTCATGGTGCTCAGATTATAACATGTCCATTTGACGGTTCGGTATAGTCTATCCGTGTATTTGTTTCAAAATGTTCATGTCCAGGCGCCGACGGGTTTCTGCAAGGAAAGAGAGCAGATATATGCGGGCACTAAGCCTCCTTTTTAACTTTTAACTTGTTGGATTATGGATCTGGAAATTTGTCTGGATTTTATTAGGATTTCAAATTTTTATAAATACTTTCTTGTCTGCTATCTGGATTTTATGTTTCCGGAAACAATTCCAGATAGATTTTATCTCACAAGACCAGTCCAGTTCACGGTCCAGTCCAGTCCAGACCAAACCAGCGACGGCAGCTTGCCCTAGGGCAGTAAATGCCAACACATTTAAAAATAACTTGTATATGCCTTGTGTTCGCGGGCAGATGTTTTAACTGAGAATTTAGAGTTATGGTTGAAAATCCCACAGGGGTGTTCTGCTCAAGACTTGGCAATTTAATGATGATCTTCCTATATGAGATGTTTTAGAAGCCGCACCACGGGGAGGGTTCAGCATACGTTTCGTGTACAGTGACACTGTCCTCGGAGGCCTCTCCCTTCATGGGGTTCCTGATCAAGGCTTTCGACGAGAACGAGAAGGATGTGGGCTCCTTCAGGAGCACCGGGTCCGACTCGAGGGCATTCAGCCACTGCGCCGGTATCACGCACACCTGGAGGGACCTGAAGAAGAGGGTTGTCGTCCAGTGGATGGCACCAGAGGACAGATCCGGCAAGGTCCACTTTAAGTAAGTTTGCCCGATATATATTTGGACAAGCCGGAAAATTAACGTAGCCGAAGAAATTTCTCTCGGCATGGTTTTCGCACTCTCCATAGCGATTTTGCTTCAATCCACATAACAAATATGACCCATAGACTGTTTCACGTAGGTTCCTCAAGGTGTGCTCTTAATCTTTAGTCATAAGATGCTATTAGGTGGGCGCTCTTCCTTCCGAGATTGTCCTTCTGTTATATTTGCTTAATTGGCTACTGCATCCCATCCAACATTTATTTGTAACAATAAGAACATTCAATCATACCAACATATCAAAGTCACTCACGAGTCATAATTAGCTATCACCTGAGTGCTGTGTATGAAGTTTTCCAAATATTTTTAATAAAGTTTCTAAACATTCCTGCAGTTAATACATATTCAGCATTACGCCAACATTTTAATGAAATCTCCGACTTGGTGTCTCAGCTTTGCAAAAAAGCACATTGTACTATGGAAATAAAAATCTCTCTAGTATGCTTCCCCACCGAAAAACCTAGTTTAACTTTTCGCTATATGGATTATGAAACTGTAACTCTATCTGAGCTCTTTCTGGATTTCAGGCGTCAAAAATTATTTTTAGTCTGCAATCTGGATTTGGGTTTCCATAAACAATTCCAGTTAGATTACCAGTCTCATATTCTAGACAGTAAAACCTTACTGTTTTTTCTCGGTAGGGTTGCCTTTAATAATGTGTGTGTTTCGGATCCACAAGTGTAAATATAGCTCCCAAGCTTATCTCCTCGCTACTGAGAAACACGCGCTCTCTGGCAGAAACTCGATGGTACATCGGGTTCAAATGAAATTCGAACAGCGACGGAACTTTGAGCCCACTAACGGGGCAGCTTCCAAGCTTGGGTTATGCATGGCGATGTTCAAAAACATCGGAGTAGAGCGCACAACCTCGCAGCGCCCTACTTCGGTGTGTTTGAACATCGCAAAGCACAATCCAAGCATGGAAGCTGCGCTGGTAGTGGGCTCGAAGTTCCATCACTGTTCGCATTTCATTTTAACCCGATGGTACACATGCAACCAGTGGTAAAAGAGACGAACCACCGGGCAACCAGTGGTAAAAGCAAAGTACGCAGCCAAGTTGTTGATAGATCAACTAAACTAACACAGCGAAACTTTATTAAAAGCCCTAAATTTACGCCGGAGGAATACGTACTATTAATGTTGAAATAAGTTCAATTTGGACACGATAAACATTTATGTAAGATTTCAATAACCAAATAGTTTATTCACACACTCAACTGAGGATGTACACCAATCACGCAATATCCACAACAGTATTTTTTTGCAGGGCAGGTGAAGGTTGAATTCCAGCGAACACTACACAGTTGACATGTATTTTTTTCTTCCAGGGTCACAGTCGTCAAACAAGTAAAGGACATCTACCACGCCATTCCAAGCACGTTGGCTTAAACCGTCCAAATGTTTTTACAACAGAAGGACTAAATAAAGACTATAGAAGCTCAGGCCTTTTTTTTTTTCATTTGTGTAATAAAGATTACCGAGGATTGAATTGAATCCCTCCCAGTTTGCGTATAAACATGCGTGACGTGTGCTGCTAATGGACACAAAATAGCTTTGCTTGATTCCATGTGCCGTGAAAATACACATGTTCTTGAGTCCATGACATAGCATCTATTACTTCTTTGAACTCCGGAAGCGCTAATTCGCGCAGTCTCCGTCTCCCATCAGCCTTATATTTATTTTTGTTTTCCTGTGGTTTAATCATCATGGCCACAATACTGTCTCTGAGCCGGTGTTGTAACTACCTTTGATTTAGAGGCCCAGATGCATCTTGGGTTTTACTATAACTACCATAGTTAAGTTTATAATTAGGTCCGAGATATAATAATGCGCGTTTTTGGATTTCACAAAAATCGGCATATCCTTGAATGTCCAATGAAGCTCTGCAATAATTCCTTGTTTTGGAAAAGAAAAATACACATAAGTTTTGCCTCAGTCAGATTATTTAACCCATTTTCATCGTCTCTGTTTACAATATTAATGGGCAGCTAAATCCTTCAGGCAACAAAATAACTGATGCAATAAGTTTTTTGTTGTGAACAAATTATTTAGCACTACCTTCGCCTTCTAAATTCGCCTCGGTGGGCACCGGAAAAAGAAGAAGAGGTGTTGAAGTGATCGAATGGAAGCTACATTGGCTCTGCGAACAAGGACCAATACCTGCGGAAATTTTTACTTAGAGACACTGAGTAACGTTTGCATCGCGTGCCCAAAGCCACCAGGAGCACGCGGATACCGATTTCTTGGTCGTAAGCGCACAATTTTTATTTTCTGGTCACTTCCAGTTTTGAAGCGGGGGTGCCCCGCTAACCCTAAGCCATAGGCGAGGGCCCTGACTACGGCGGCCACATCGCTCGTGATGGAGTCCGCAGCGGCCTGCTCAAGCGTTGATCGAAACCACCAGCCGCATACCGCCAACGCTGAAGAGGAAGAAAATGACATGCGCATGTTGCAAGACCCTCCAAGTACCACCGGCGACGACGAACACGACATGGCACCCTGGATTAAAGTCACCAGCCGGGCTATTCGCCGCAAGACGCGAGCCAGCCTTGCCACGCAAACTCTCAACCTATCGCCGCCAAAGCCGGCTCTTCGACCCAGCCGCCCGGTGCTCAAGCCAAAACCTCCACCCCTTCCTGCTGACGACTTTAAATTGGCGATCCGGCCTCGCAATGGTCTCGTGCTGAGCAAGGTGAGCCCGATAGTACTTTCAAACAGCATTATGCGAGAAGCTAAGCTACGTCCTCAAGAGGCAGACATCAAAATACGCGTCAATGAACAACAGAACATTCTAGTTGCAAGCACACCCTACCAATCAACAGCCTCGGCGCTGAGTAAGATCCAAAAACTAACTATTGGTGAAACTACTTACGCAATTGCGTCATATGGTATCTCCCCTGACAACTCGTGTAGAGGGGTGATACACTCGAGAGAAAAGGAAGCCACCAACGAAGAACTATTGGAGGCCATCTCAGCCCCTGGATACGAACCACTCACGTGCCGCCGATTCGGGGACTCAGACACCATCCTCATCACTTTCATAGGAAAGAAAGTCCCTTTCCTTATATACGTAGGCGGAGTGGAAACGAGGTGCTTCCTCTACAAACGCACCGTCGCCTACTGCTACGTCTGCCATCAAACTGGCCACCGCGCGGACGTCTGCCCTTACCCGCCAGATGTGCCGACGTGCAAGGACTGCGAAGCCCTACTTACCGCGGAGCCACACGAGTGCAAACCGAAATGCTCTCTGTGCAGCGGTGAACACCGCACAGCGAGCAAGGCCTGCCCTGGGCGCTTTTTGCCGCCCGTCAACCGGCGAAAAGAACAGACGTCGATCGGCAGGCGGAGACCGAGAACTCCTTCTGGCCAGCGAGGGGACCCCTCATCAAGATCTTCCGCTGCCCGGTCCCGATCTCGTAGCTACCCACGTTTGACCCAGGACAGGAGACGCCGCAGTTCGAGGTCCCGGTCCCGCTCCAAGACCCGAGGAAGGACACCGAGCACCCAGGAACGAATAGAAACTCAGCAATCTACGCAGGTGAGCTGGGCGCAGACGCTCTCTCGCAAAGCTCGTTCCCCTCCCCTACCCAATGATATGCTTAAACAAGTCCAAACGCAGAATTTACGTCTACAAGAGGAGAATACAACACTTAAAGCCGAACTTGGCGCACTGAGAGAAGAATTATGCGCCCTTCGTAATGAAATCAAACAAACGACACAATCACCATCCGCTCCCGAGAAACGCAAAAAGATAGAACGCCCCACTTCGAAACCGTTAGAACCCCCTTCCCAGTCCCCGACTGCACTAAGCCCACAACTCACAGAAATCACTCAGCAACTCGCAACCCTTATGCAACTTATGCAACAAACTAACGTGCGCTTGGATAACCTCGAAGCTCAGAACCCATCTCTTCCCGGTCGTCTCTCACGGCGTGCCTTGAAGCCTTACAGCCGACCCACTCCTCATCAAGAGGAGCTCACCTGCCACGATGGCAGCAAAACGGAATAATAATCAAGTTCTTCATCACAAAACCACCATATGGCAGTGGAATTGCCGCGGATTCAAAAAAGTGAAAGCCGTTTACAACTCCCTGTAACACCGAATTAGAGCGCAGCTCTTGAGGAGGAGGAGGGAAGGGTACTGGGGGGGTGAAGTGACCTGGGGGTGTCACGTGACCTTGGGGGGTCACGTGACGATGCCGATGATGTCATCAGTGACGTCACTGATGACGTCATCAGTGACGATGACGATGCGGACTCCGATGACGTCATCAGCGATGATGACGATGCGGATGTCGGTGACGTCATCAGTGACGTCACTGATGACGTCATCAGTGATGATGACGCTGACGATGCGGATGCCGGTGACGTCATCAGTGACGTCACTGATGACGTCATCAGTGATGATGACGATGACGATGCGGATGCCGGTGAGGTCATCAGTGACGTCACTGATGACGTCATCAGTGATGATGACGATGACGATGCGGATGCCGGTGACGTCATCGGGGAGGTCACGTGACCTCGGCGGGGGTCACGTGACCCTGGGGGTGGTCACGTGAGCTGGGGGTGTCACGTGACCGGGGGGGGTCACGTGACCTCGGGGGGTCACGTGACTTCAGGGGGTCACGTAACTTTGGGTGTCACGTGACCTTGGGGGTCACGTGACTGGGGGAGGGGTCACGTGACCTCTGGGGGTCACGTGACCTTGGGGTGACCTTGGGGGTCACGTGACCTTGGGATGACCTTTGGGGGCCACGTGACCTTGGGATGACCTTGGTTACGCCGACGCCGACGCCGCTCAAGCCGGGAACGGGCCCCTAAGAGCTGCGCTCTAAAACAAGTTCGGTTCACTCTCTCAATTCATTGCAGCATCTACCTCTCCTCCGGATGTCATATCACTCCAGGAGACCAATTCTCCCGCTCGTCTTCCCGGCTACGTGACGTACGGAGAAGACACCGGAAAAAACCTTCATACTCTGGTTAGCAAACGAATTACTGCTATTCAACACGCTCTTCAACAAACAGAACAGCTGGGAATCCTGCTCGAGCTCATCCCGCGTGCCAAGAAACACGTCCACAGTCTTTTCATCTTAAATATGTATTGCAGACCCAAATCTAAAGATCCTAGTGTCCAAAACGTACTCCTGCAGGCTATCCACAAAGCGGGAGGTCAGCCTCTCCTCATAATGGGAGATTTCAACGCGGCCCACCAGCTCTGGGGCTATGCGTACTCCAATAAACGCGGTAATGCCTTGCATGCACTCATCGCAAACAATGACCTTACCCTCCTAACTAACCCTGCCTCCCACACCCGCATGGGCAATAGCGTCACCAATGATACCTCGCCAGACTTAACTATCACTAGCCACATCCCTCACGCGGACTGGGAGCACCTCGGAGAATATTTGGGGAGCGACCATGCCATTCTAGCCACTACTATATACGGCGCAGAGTACAAAGTCAAAGTCGGCAAGGCACGCCTGACCGACTGGACCAAACTCCGAGATGAACGAGAAAAGAGACTGAAAACGACAGATCACCCCCCGCTTACTCTGCAAGAGTGGGTATCTCGTCTCGTCCAAGATGTCCAAACCCACACTAAAAATATTGAAACGTCCACCACCACTCCATGTGTGGACACTAGGCTTCTCCACCTATGGGAGGCTCGCCGCAGTCTAATTAAACGATGGAAGAAACAGAAGCTCAACCGCAAGCTAAAAAAACGTATTGCGAGGCTCACACAAGACGCGGCACAGTACGCCTCCGAATTGTGCAAGGAAAACTGGCTTTCCTTCTGTGACGGAATGTGCGACACCCTTAGTACCTACAAAACCTGGAAACTGCTCCGCTATCTTATTGATCCGGCCAAGAGCAAGACGACGTCCCAACACACTATGGACAAAGTCATCCATCAACACGTAGGAGACACACGCCATCTCCTCGCGACTCTCAAGACCCGTTACCTCCCTACTCATCCCACGGAACCCCTTCCTCCATACTCGGGAAGCCCAAATCCGCTCCTAGACGAGGACATCCATCTGCATGAAGTTACGGATGCTCTTGCCAAGATTCGCCGCAACACAGCGCCCGGATTAGACAAAGTTACTAACAAGGCCTTGGCCAACCTGGACAACCCTTCCCTTCTAGAACTGACTGATCATCTAAATGACATCTGGCAGACGGGAATCCTCCCCGAGGATTGGAAAACTGCGGAAGTTAAACTGATACCTAAGCCGAACAAACCACCCAGCACTGACAACCTTCGACCCATTTCCCTTACGTCGTGTGCAGGGAAACTGTTGGAACATATCGTATTAAACAGACTGCAATCATATCTCGAAGATCACGATAAGCTCCCAGTGACAATGTTTGGCTTCCGCTCGCATCTGTCGACGCAAGACGTTCTACTCCAGCTTAAGGAAGAGGTAATGCTGCCTGCTACGCGCAACTCACCCACGGCCATTCTTGCTCTAGACCTCAAGGGGGCATTTGACAATGTTAAACACACTGCCATCCTCTCACAACTTAATACCCTCGACTGCGGCCATAGAACCTACCAGTACATCAAGGATTTTCTCTCCGGGCGCAGAGCGATACTAAAGGTGGGAAACCTCGCCACAGACCCAGTCCTGCTTGGCAGCCGAGGTACCCCTCAAGGGGCCGTACTCTCACCTTTGATATTCACAATTGCGCTCATCGGTCTCCCTGCCCTCTTGGACTCCATTCCCGGCGTACATCATGGCATATATGCCGATGACATTACGATCTGGTCCGGCACGGGATCCTTCGGGGAAATTGAGGAGCGTCTGCAAACGGCGGCCAATGCGGTCAGTGATTATGCCAAGTCATGCGGCCTCGAATGTGCGCCACAAAAATCAGAACTACTACTCGTTTCTCCAAGAAAGAAAGGTTCTCTGGACCCACCCAATGTCACTATCTGTATGGAGGGCCACATCATCGTTCCATCTCCGCATATCAAGATCCTCGGTATGACCTTTCAGGCCGACCGCGCGAACACCATCCTGATAAATAAGCTCAAACACACCACAGACCAAGTCACCCACATGATCCGACGTATAACCACCAAAACGAGGGGTATGCGCGAGGTCGATACGGTTCGCCTAGTCCAGGCATTCATAATCTCCCGCATTACGTATGCCATACCTTATGCAGTCCTAACCAAGACAGAACTCTCGAAGGTGGATGTAATGATCAGGAAAGCCTACAAACAGGCCCTCGGACTTCCCGTCAGCACGGCCACCGACAAATTGTTAAAACTCGGCCTACACAATACAGCTGACGAGCTCATAGAAGCCCATCTTTCCAGCCAAAGAATGAGACTGGGAGCCACGGGCACAGGAAGACTTCTTCTCTCTCGACTGCGACTCACAACCCCTCTGCAGCATCCTCCTTCTGAAACCACGACTCTCTCTCACGAGGTCCGGAGACACCTCTCCATTTCACCGCTTCCCCGCAACATGCACCCCGTGCATCATGCGGGACGAAGGGAGGCGAGAGCCCAAGCCGTATACAAACGCTATGGCCACGAACCAACCACCGCATACACGGACGCGGCCTCTTATCCCGGCATAAGAGCCATGACAGCCGTCGTCGTCCAACAAAATCACCATGTCAGCAGCATCACACTACCAAGATACGAACCCTTACAAGCGGAAGAGGCGGCCATTGCTCTTGCCATCGCGCAAACTACAGCCGAAGTCATCATTACAGACTCGCAGCACGCGTGCCGTAATTTCTCCAGAGGAAGAATTCACCGTACAACAGAACGGATTATCTCCCAACACCCGCCGGATAGACTCATCACTATCATATGGACACCCGCCCACTCCTCTGTACCAGGCAATGCAACCGCCCACCTCTTGGCCCGAGAGTTATCCCGCCGGGCCCTGAGAGACGAGCAGGAGCGGCCGGTCCCATTGGTAACATATCAAGAGATCACGCAGCACTATAGGTTGGAGCGACGTACCTACCCACCCCCACATAAACAACTATCGAAAGAGCAGGAACGACATCACCGTGCCCTACAAACTAACACCTTCCCTCATCCCACTAAATGCCATATCTTTTTCCCTACCCTCTATTCCCCATTATGCCGCTTTTGCGGAGCTCCTGGGACCCTATTTCATATGGTAGGAGGATGCGACCAAAATCCCACCCAATCGTCTAACCCTTTCCAGTCGTCATACGAGCTTTGGGAGAGAGCACTGACCAGCTCCAACCTCGATGACCAGCTCATGCTCGTGTCGAGGGCTGTGGAAGCAGGGAAGGCTCAAGGCGTCTTGGACTAAGGACTCCTCCCCATCGCTTTCTCATAATAAAGATGTTTATTCTCTCTCTCTCGGTGGGCACCGGCATTAAGACAACAGGCAGCCGGCTCCGATCGCACCCTGGTTCCAACTGCCACCAGGCGTTTTATTATCAATCAAAGAAGAAGACAATGAACGCGGCAGCCTCATAGTGGATGTATTTAATTCAGTGAGTACACTTTGCACACTCCAAAATGCGCATATATAAATATACAGCACAACATCACCACTTCAAGTGGGTCTGCTTCCAGGTAATAAATAAGCCTGTCGGGTTGCCTGCTTTTTGCGCTGCGCCTTACAGAAGGACCGGACACAGAAGGTTCGTCAAACTCATGACTATCGAAGTGGTTCTCAGGCTCCGAGTCCGAGTCATTTGAATCCGTGGATGCTGCGGGTCAACCGTCATCCACCGCCGAGCTCCCTTCTCAACTAAGCCATTTTGGAGTTAATCTTGGCCTCAGGTGATCGCGATGTATAAAACAAATTCTACTAAAAATCTGCGCCAAGTATGCGAGAACACTAATTTCCTTCATCACCTTTCCT